TGGAGTGCAGTGCTGTGATCACGGCTCACTGCAGCTTTGACCTCCTGGGCTTAGACAATCCTCTTGCCTCAGCCTCCCAAGTAGCTGGGACCACAGGCTTATGCCACCAAGCCCAGCAAATTTTTAAAAACCATGATTTGGAGAGATGAGGTCTAATACTATGTTTCCCAGACTAGTCTTGAACTCCTGGGCTCCAGTGATCCTCCTGCCTTGGCCTCCCAAATTGCTGGGATTACAGGTCTACTGCTTCTAACTACAATTTAAAAACATTGTTTTGCTTCTTGGTATGTTTGTTACTTTAACACTTTTATTATTTGTTACTTTAGTAACTTTTCTCTGATTTAGTATGATTGCTCCTTGCCCTTTCAGTTTGAGGGTAACAACTTACAGCAGCTGGTTCTGAAGATTTGTCAAGCACATTTTGCCCCAATATCTCCAAGGTTTTCGCGTGAGCTACATTCCTTGATATCTCAGCTCTTTCAAGTATCTCCTCGAGACCGACCATCCATAAATTCCATTTTGAAAAGGCCCTTTTTAGAGAATCTTATTCCCAAATATTTGACTCCTGAGGTGAGTTTTGAGGTGACTGTTTGGATTTTGGCAGAGATTTTGGTTTGTAGGTCCTTGACACGTGTGTTCGGTTTTAGGTCATTCAGGAAGAATTTAATCACATGCTTATATGCAGAGCAGGAGCGCCAGCTTCTCGACAGGCTGGGAAGGTGGTCCAGAGTAAGTGTGACTTTACCGTGCAATCAAAAGCATTTATTACACATGTCTCACACAGAGAGTAATGCAAGGAAATTTCACCAAACATTTTGAAAGCGGACATTTAGGAAACAAGCAGTATAAGCAGGAGAACAATCATCTTGTCAAATGGCAACTAGTGAGTGTGCCTGAAAGTTGTACATTTAGCTCATGCATGACCTGCAGGGTTTCTTCTCATTAGTCAGGAAACCTTCATGAAGCAGAGGACATGCTGATAGAGATGCTTGAAGAGGTTGAGCCCAAACTTAACTTTTGTGTAGTGAAGAGATAGAGTGGGAGAAGGTTGCAGATAGACATGGATGATGAGATGAAACTTATTTTTCTAAAATAGGATAGACTGGCAATTAAGAATTCTGTTGCAAAGGACCATTGGAGCTGAAGTTAGGATCTTGGGGCCTAATTGGTAACAGTGAGAACTATTACTTTGTGGTTCCCAAAGAAGGCAGGAAATACTTTATGGTAGTAATAATTGGAGAAAACTATTTTAGTCCTGGTGTCAGGAATCAGCTAAGCTGTGTGTCAGAGGGAGGGGTGCATTAAGAAAGAGAAAATGACTAATTCATTTGATGCTGTGAAAGTCAAAGCCGCAGGATTTAGCCATAACTGAATGCCTGGACTTACAATATTAGAAGAAGCAGAAAACCTCCCAAAGGAATTCATGAGAGGGAAATGTTATCCATTGAGAGAGAGGTTCTAAAATCGAGGAAAGTTAAGGAGAAAATGAATGAGCCTCTTTGCCATTTAATTTGACTGACATTGTTGTATATCAGTCTAGACTGAGAATGTTTAGAAAATAGACAAGTACAAAGTATAGGACAGTGTATTGTCCATATTTCTAATATAGGTAAGACAGGAGAACAAGAACAATTTTTTCTATTGAGATGGGGTCTCACTGTGTTGCCCAGGCTGGTCTCAAACTCCTGAGCTCAAACAATCCTCCCACCTTGGCCTCCCAAATTGCTGGGATTACAGGTGTGAGCCACCTTACCCAGCCCAAGAACAAATTTTGATGGAGATAAAGACAAGCATTAGAGATCTACTCATACCTCAATCTCAGCATTTTGGGAGGCCAAGGTGGGCAGATCACTGGAGGCCAGGAGTTTGATGCCAGTCTGGCCAACGTGGCCAAACCACATCTCTACTAGAAATACAAAAATTAGCTGGACCTAGTGGCCCATGCCTGTAATCCCAGCTACTTGGGTGGCTGAGGCACGAGATTTGCATGAACTCGGGAGGTGAAGGTTGCAGTGAGCTGAGACCCTGCCACTGTAACATAGCCTGGGTGACAAAGGGAGACTGTCCCAACAAAAAAAAAAAGAGAAGATCTACTCATAAATTCCAAACAATGTGGCATGAATGGAGTGGCCTGATAACCCAAGCTCTAATGACCAAATTTAATAACTTTTATTATTACCCCATACATACTGTTTCTGTAAAGGTTAATATTAATTTCTATTTTTCTGAAAAAAAGTGATGTTATATATACTAGAAATATGCAAAGGGACTCTGAAAAAAGGTTTTTTTCATTTAAAGAAAATGCATATTAATTTTTCATCAGTACTTCTCTCACTGTAACATATCTCTGGCTAAAAAGTAAACTTACTGTGTTATGAAATGTAGCTTATGTTTATATTCTTACAAGTATCAGTAGTAAAGATGTACAATTTTTCAAAAATTAAAGCTGTTTTGTTTTGGTTAATTAAGAGTGTAAAATACAAAAAGTGAAATTCCAGGGAAAGTGCCCACCAAGATCAAGGATATCTGTGCCAATTAAAAGGAATGCTATATTGCATAGAAATGAATGGAGACCACCAGCTGGAGCCCAGAAGGCCAGATCCGTAAGTCATTCTAAACCCTCCTTTGTGTTTTTTAAACTATGGTGTATTCTTTTCTTTTCTTTTCTTTTCTTTTCTTTTTTTTTTTTGAGATGAAGTCCTGCTCTGTCGCTAGGCTGGAGTGCAGTGATGTGATCTCAACTCACTGCAAACTCCGCCTCCCGGGTTCAAGCGATTCTTCTGCCCCAGCCTCCTGAGTAGCTAGGACTACAGACGTGTGCCACCATGTCCAGCTAATGTTTGTGTTTTAGTAGAGATGGAGTTTCACCATTTTGGCCAGGATGGTCTTGATCTCTTGACCTTGTGATCCGCCTGCCTGGGCCTCCCAAAGTGCTGGGATTACAGGTGTGAGCCACCGCACCCGGCCCCAGCTAATTTTTGTACTTTTAGTAGAGACAGGGTTTCACCATGTTGGTCAGACTGGTCTCGAACTCCTGACCTTGTGATCCACCTGCCTCAGCCTCCCAAACTGCTGGTATTACAGGCATAAACCACTGCAACTGGCTGTTATATTCTTTTTCTTTAATTTTTTAGTTAAAAAAATTTTTGTGGGTACATATTAAGTGTATATATTTATGGGGTACATGAGATGTTTTGATACAGGCATGCAATGTGAAATAAGCACATCATGGAGAATGGGGTGTCTGTCCCCTCAAGTATTTATCCTTTGAGTTACAAACAACCCAGTTATACTCTTTAAGTTATTTAAAAATGTACAATTAAGTTACTATTGACTATAGGCAGTCTATTGTGCTATCAAATAGTAGGTCTTATTCTATTTTTTTTAACCCATTAAGCTATGGTATATTCTGACAGACCTATCTGCACATGTTCATGAGGTACAAGCTCATTGTCTAGAGTCCACAAATTTTGTACTTACAATAAAGTATTCTGTACTGAGCATTATAATGGTATTTTTTTGGACAACTTCTAGTTTTTATATTTTATAAAACGATGCTGTATGCCCTTACAAGTATACTTTAGGTTTAATTTTCTTTTTATAACTGAAATTCTTCTTATTTCTAATAAGTAAGGTTTTCCTGTATAGGAAAAGTGAGTAACATAGCAACAGAAAACAGTCTGCATTTAATATTCTTAATTCTAACATGTATAGGATTGAGAAGTTTGTATGATATAATAATTGATATTTCCCTAGCGATTCTTTGTGTTTAGTTATTTGAATTCACTTCAGCACAGTGTTGAATCTTTCAGGTCATACTAGTGAAATGCTTCTGGTATGTAAATGATAAAATGGCTATTGTCTTTTAATTAAAGAATTATATTTTTAAAGAAGGTTCATGGTAAAATTAGAGAACCATTTGGAAGTATATTTACTAAGTGTTTACTTGATAGATAGACATTTTAGAAAATATATTGGTATGTAAACATTTTTTTAAAAAACTGATTGTTTAAGTTATTGCCCTTCATTTGATAAAGGGCTTAACTTGTTTGTTTGTTTATTTATTTATTTATTTATTTGAAAGAGGGTCCTGCTCTGTCACCCAGGCTAGAGTGCAGTGGCATGTCTCAGCTCACTGCAACCTTGATGTATTAGTCTGTTCTCATACTGCTATAAATAACTACTTGAGACTGGATAGTTTATAAAGAAAAGAGGTTTCATTGGCTTACAGTTCTGCAGGCTGTACAGGACGCATTGCTGAGGAGGCCTCAGGAAACTTATAATCATGGCAGAAGAGGAAGCAGGCTCATCTTAAATGGCCAGAGCGGGAGGAAGAGAGCGAACGAGGAGGTGCTACACACTTGTAAACAACCAGATCTCATGAGAACATACTCACTATCACGAGAACAGTTAGAGGGAAATCTGCCCGCATGATCTAATCACCTTCCACCAGACCCCTCCTCCAACATCAGGGATTACAATTCAGCATGAAATTTGGGCAGGGACACAAATCCAAACCATATCATTCCACCTCTGGCCCGTCCCAATTCCCATGTCCTCCTCACATTGCAAAATACAATTTTCCCTTCTCAACAGTCCCCCAAGGCTTAACTCATTTCAGCATTTAACTCAAAAGTCCACAGTTCAAAGTCTCATCTGAGACAAGTCAAGTCCTTTCCACCTGTGAGTCTGTAAAATAAAAAACAAGTTAGTTACTTCCAAAATACAATGAGGGTACAGGCATTGGTAAATACACCCATTTCAAAAGGGAGAAATCAGCCAAAACAAAGGGTTTACAGACCCCATGCAAATTCAAAACCTAGCAGGGCAGTCATTAAATCTTAAAACTCCAAATTCCTTTGACCCCATATCTCACATCCAGCGCATACTGGTGCAAGGAGTGGGCTCCCAAGGCCTTGGGCAGCTCTGCTCCTGAGGCTTTGCAGGCTACAGCCCCTGCGACTGCTCTCACAGGCTACTGTTTAGTGCCTGCGGCTTTTCCAGGTGCATGGTGCAAGCTGTCGTTCAGGCTACCGTTTTGGAGTCAGGAGAATGGTGGTCCTCTTCTCACAGCTCTACTAGGCAGTGCCCCAGCGGGGACTCTGCGTGGAGGCTCCAATGCCACATTTCCCCTCTGCACTGCCCTAGTGGAGGGTCTCCCTGAAACAGGCTTCTGCCTGGACGTCTAGGCTTTTCCGTATGTCTTCTGAGATCTTGGTGGAGGGCTCCCACGCCTCAACTCTTGCACTCTGTGCACCTGCAGACTTAACACCACGTGGAAGCCACCGAGACTTACGGCTTGCACTCTCTGAAGCAATGGCCTGAGCTGTACCTTAGGCTCTTTTAACCATGGCTGGAGCTGGAGCAGCCACAATGCAAGACACCATGTCCTGAGGCTGCACAGAGCAGTGGGGCCCTGGGCTTGGTCCTCAAAGCCATCCTTCCCTCCTAGGCCTCTGGGCCTGTGATGAGAGGCGCTGCCTCAAAGGTCTCTGAAATGTCTTCAAGGCATTTCCCCCATTATCTTGGCTAGCAACATTTGACTTCTCTTTATTTTTGAAAATTTCTGCAGCTGGTTTGAATTGCTCCCCAGAAAATGGGTTTTTCTTTCCAGGCTGCAAACTTCCCTAACTTTTATACTCTGCTTCTCTTTTAAGTATAAGCTCCAGTTTTACATCATTTATTTGCTCACAAATATGACCATAGGGTGCTAGAGAAGCCAGGCCACATCTTGAATACTTTGCTGCTTAGAAATTTCTTCTGCCAGATGCCCTAAATCATCATTCTCAAGTTCAAAGTTCCACAGATCGCTAGGGTAGTGGCACAATGCCTCCAACCTCTTTGCTAATACATAACAAAAGTGACCTTTGCTCCATTTCCCAATAAGTTCCTCATCTCCATCTGAGACCTCCTTAGCCTGGACTTCATTGACCATATCACCATCAGAATTTGGTCACTATGATTTTAACAAGTCTCTAGGACATTCCAAACTTTCCATCATCTTCCTGTCTTCTTCTGAGCCCTCCACACTCTTCCAACCTCTGCCCGTTACCCAGTTCCAAAGTCACTTCCACATTTTCGGGTATCTTTACACAATTCCCCACTCCTGGTACCAATGTATTGTGTCAGTCCGTTCTCATACTGCTATAAAGAACACCCGAGACTGGGTAATTTATAAAGAAAAGACATTTGATTGGCTCACAGTTCTGCAGCCTGTACAGGAAGCATGGCTGGGAGGCCTCAGGAAATTTATAATCACGGCAGAAGGGGAAGCAGGCTCATCTTACATGCAGGAGGGAAGGAGTGAAGGGATAGCTGCTACAAACTTTTGAACAACCAGATCTCATGAAAACTCACTCACTATCACAAGAACAGCAAGGGGGAAATCTGCCCCCATGATCCGTTTACCAGGCTTCCTCTCCCAACATTGGGGATTACAATTCAACATGAGATTGGGCAGAGACACAAATCCAAACCACATCACTCGACCTCCCAGGCTGAAGTGATCCTCCCACCTCAGCCTCCTGAATAGCTAGTACTACCGGTATGCGCCATGATGCCCAGCTAGTTTTTATTTTTTGTAGAGTCAGGGTCTCACTGTGTTGCCCAGGCTGTTCTCGAACTCCTGGGCTCAAGTGATGTACCTGCCTCAGCCTCCCAAAGTGCTGGAATTACAGGCGTGAGCCACTGTGCCCAGCCTAAGGGCTTAATTTTATTAAAGAAATAAGAAAAGTATGTTGTGATTCAGAGGACTCTTTATCAGACCTGTAGAAGAGAAAACACATCTAAAAGATTTGAGGATGAATTAAATTATGAGAACTGTTGAACACGTTGACATTTTTTCCAGTTCCTTGAAAAGGTAAAATTGATTTCCACAGGAACTACCTCTGATATTCCTATTACTGTTGGGATATTAGAAAAAATTTTAAAGAAACTGTCTATTGCCTTTCAATACTTTTCTCTTTCTAACCGCTTTTCAACAAGTAATTGGTAGTATTTTTTTCTAGGTTGTATACAGGTGAAATTGTAAAGCAAAGCAAACTACTTCTTACTTTAAAAGATTTTTAAAATAGGCTGGTGCAGTGGCTCATGACGGTAATCCAACATTTTGGGAGGCTGAGGTAGGGGGATCGTTTCAGCCCAGGAGTTCGAGACCAGCCTGGTCAACACATTGAGACCCCACCTCTACAAAAAGTAAAATTAAAAGAAAATTAGCTGGACATGGTGGCATGTGCCCGTAGTCCCAGTTACTTGGGAGGATGAGGCAGGGGATTCCTGGAGCCCAGGAGTTTGAAGCTGCAATGAGCTATGATCACACCGCAACCCTCCAGGCTGGATGACAGAGTGAGATCCTGTCTCAGAATTTATAAAGAAAAGAAAATATTTTTAAAATAAACATATAATTTGTATTTAGATTAATAAACTAAATTTTATACATTTACTTAAATATTTAAATAGAACTATATGAAAGTGCCATTTTCCTAGATTAATGATGGTCAATTCTGTGCAATGTCTTTTTTTTTTTTTTTTGAGATGGAGTCTCACTCTGTCACTCAGGCTGGAGTGCAGTGGTGCTATCTCGGCTCACTGCAATCTCCGTCTCCCAGGTTCATGTCATTCTCCCGCCTCAGCCTCCCGAACAGCTGGGACTCCAGGCGCCCTCCATCACACCCCGGCTAATTTTGTTTTTGTATTTTTAGTAGAGACGGGGTTTCACCATGTTGGCCAGGATAGTCTCGATCTCCTGACCTTGTGATCTGCCCGCCTCAGCCTCCCAAAGTTCTGGGATTACAGGCGTGAACCACCGCGCCCAGCCAATTATGTGTAATTTCATATGGTCCAATCTAACATATATATGAACCATATAGCAGTAAAAAGAATAAAGGATATAGCATATTACCTCTTTACATGAGGACATTTTGGTTTTGTTTTCGTTATTCATATTCCCAACTATTAGTTCCTAGGTTTTTACAGTAGTTTCATCTATTTTTCTCTTTTTATTATTAACTGTAAACTGTCAACTAGACAGAGTTGCCACACTTCAGGTTAAATTGACCCCACTTTGCTCTTTAGCAAGAAGGTCTTGACTGGCTTTTATATCTTAATTTGATCCATTTCTCATCTTCTAGCTCAGTGGCTTCTACTCAGTTCTAAGATAAACTGTCATTTCTGGTTCTCCTGTCCTCATTCTGTTCTGGTTGGGTGGTGAGGGCTGGGATGCTAATATGTCCATCACAGCTGTTATATGACCTTTTAAAATATTTTCTCTGGAAGAATGACTCTGATTCAGCATCTTATTTTCTTTAAGTCATGATGCCATTTTGCGTTTAGTCAATTTATCAGAAACTAAAAATGTTGCAAATCCCCATATGTGTGAGTTCCACGATACTTTTTATTTTCCTGTAAAGTATGGTAAGGTATAAATGAGTTTAAGAAAAATAGAAAACAATAATTCTGAGTTTAGTTTTGGATCTTGGATTGGCTGGGCATACTCACTAGCTAAGTACATTTTACATACTAGCCATGAAGTATGCATGATTCATATCTATACCTTAGCAAAATTGTAAACCACTATACTATATAGTACTTAGGTCTTTTTGTACTCTGGGATTTGGGGACTCTAAGATTATTTTATTCTGAAAAACAAGTGTAGTAGAAAAACAGCAAAAATACACCTTCAGTGCCTTGTCTTAGCTATGGTCACTGTCATATTGTCAAGTATTATAAATTTGTATTATGGTTTTTTTTTTTTGAGATGGAGTCTCACTCACGTTGCACAGGCTGGAGTGCAGTGGTACGATCTCAGCTCACTGCAACCTCCACCTCCCGGACTCAAGCGATTCTCCTTCCTCAGCCTCCCGGGTAGCTGGGATTACAGGTGTACACCACCACACCTAACTAATTTTTGTATTTTTAGTAGAGACAAGGTTTTGCCATGTTGGCCAGGCTGGTCTTGAACTCCTGATCCACCTGCCTTGGCCTCCCAAAGTGCTAGGGTTACAGATGTGAGCCACTGCACCCGGCCTGTATTATGGTTTTTAAAAACATCCCCTCTTCTTTTCTTCAGATAAAAATGATAGAAAGGCCCAAACTTGCTGCTGTGTGTGGACATTATGATTATTATTATGCTCAACTTGATATGCTGAGGAGGAGAGCCCAGGAACCAAGTTATCACCCTATTCCTCAAGAAAATACTGGAGTTGAGGATTAC